AAATCAGGCAAGTTTGTGTATGAAAGCGTGATTTTTTTCTTCATTTTTTCATATAAAATTCCGTGTTGATCAAAAAACTTTTATTAGTGAGTGACACTTGACCCCCTGTAGATCCGCAATGTCCTGCGACTGATATGTGCAACATTGAGTTGTCCCCCCATACCCCTAGATAATACCCATTACTTTGACATATCTTGACAAGTGTCAACCATTGAATACATGGAAAAAAAATATGTTCATATCAAAAAATTTAATTTTTCAATTTCTGATTTAACATTAGTATTAGGAAATAATTAATAGTATGATCTTACATCAACCAGGATTTCAAGGCCCTACAAGTAAAGTTGAAATTTTCCTAATTTAACCTTCGAAGAGTCCTTAACAAACTTTTCAGAGCACACTCTGATACACCCATTGCAACTGTCTTTGCTTTATAAACCCCTCTAGTTTTATGAACATCTCAAGGAAAGTGCCAACAAAAGCAACACTTTTAACTGTCGTAGAATGACCAATACTTGAGCTAGCTTCTTGTTTGAGTAGTCGTTTGGAAGTCCTGATTTAGCTTTAAATTTTTTGTTTAATGCGAGAAGGTTGTTTGCATAGTGAAAAATAGCAAAAAAAAAATTTTTGAAAATGGGCGTCAAAAATTTTTACAACATTACACATATCAAATTTTATCAGAAATTCGATTTTTTTCTAATGTCGATAGCATAATAATAATAATAATAATTGTTTGTGTACAACCCATAAATTTCGGAATACTTGTATAGTTGGCTCAGTCTAAAGACCTCCTAAGTTTTGCATGAATTTAAAAGTATAGAAGTCACTTTCTGTCCTATCTTTTAAAAAAATAACATTATTAGTTGATAGAATAGGTCTTTAGTTTTAATGTAATAATGAGATATTCTCAAAAAAATCATTTGTTGTAGAGTTCTATTCTTTTTTAGAACATGTACTTTACTATGTTCATGAGAAATTTGGCCGCTAGGATCATTACTAAATTTAGACCAAACTACAAAAATCATTTCTAAATTTAGACTAATACATGACCATCATATCTAAATTTGGCAGTACGAAATAAATTTTTAAACCCAAAATCACGTGAAGTCCTATTTTCAAAAATTTTTATTGCATTTATGAACAAATTACAAATTGCTATTTTTGAAATTTGGCCACGTGGCGCAGAAATAGGAGGTCTTTAGACTGAGCCAACCATACAACTTGCACAACAATTGCAACAGCTCTTACAAGCACAACAATGCTTACTACAACAGCAGCAACAATGCTACAACAACAGCAACAGCAAGAACAAGATTTGCAACAACAGCAACAACTTTTACATGAGCAACTTTTAGAAGTTTTAGAACAGCAGCAGCAACTCATACAACAACAATTCCAACAACCTCCACAAAAGCAGCAACAATTTTTACAACAACAGCAAAAACTATTACAACAACAGCAACAATTAGCACAACAACAACAACTACTCTCACAACAACAACAACAACAACCCTTAGAACAACAGCAAGAATTCTTGCAACAACAAGAATTCTTACAACAACATCAGGAACTCTTACAACAACTGCAAGAACACTTGCAACAACTGCAGCTATTCACACAACATCAACAGCAGAAACTCTTAGAATGTCAACAAAAACCCACTCAACACCAACAACATCTCATAGAACTCTTAGAACAATGTCAACAACTCCTACAAAAACAGCAACAATTCACACAACAACAGCAACAACTCTTACAAAATCAGCATAAATTCATACAACTGCAATTATTACAACAATTTGTACAAGGACAAGTCACAATACCAACCAACTGTTTTGATTTTGGAGAGCTTTCTATAATTAGTAAAGATGATTATACTAATATTTTAAGAGATTGGGAGGAATTGGAAAATATAAACAATGAATTAATGAATAAATTCAATGAAATAGTCCATGAATTGAAAATTGCATGTAATGACTTGGTTAATAAACACAATGACTTGGCTAATATATACAATGAATTAATGAGTAAAAACAATGTATTGGAAAATGAAAACAATGTAAAAATAATAAAATGAATAATTATAACAAAAAAAAAGGTCAAACAATCAGTAGATTTAGTAATGAAAACATTAAATTAAAAAGTGAAGTCAATAAATTGAAAAGTGAATACAATGAATTGAGAAATGAAAACAAAAAAAATGATCAAACAATCAATGAATTGAAAAGTTATAGCAAAAAACAAGATCAAACAATTGGTAGATTTAGTAATGAAATCATTAAATTGAAAAGTGAAGTCAATGAATTGAAAAGTGAGGTCAATGAATTGAAAAGTGAAAACAATGAATTGGAAAGTAAAAATAATCAAAACAATCAAACAATTGATGAATTGAGAGTTAAAAATGATAGAAATGATAAAACAATCAGTGGATTTAATAATAAATCAATAAATTGGAAAGTGAAAACACAAAATTGGAAAGTGATTTTAATGATTTGGAAAGTGATTTCAGGAAATTGGAAAAAAACAAAAAACAAGATCAAACAATTGGTAGGTTTAGTAATGAAAACAATAAATTGAAAAATGAAGTCAATGAATTGGAAAGTGAAGTCAATAAATTGAAAAGTGAAGTCAATAAATTGAAAAGTGAAAACAATGAATTGGAAAGTAAAAACAATCAAAACAATCAAAACAATCAAACAATTGATGGATTGAGAGATAAAAACGAAAAAAATGATAAAACAGTCAGTGGATTTAATAATGTAATCAATAAATTGGAAAGTGAAAACAATAAATTGACAAATGAACTCGAGGGATTGAAAAGTGAACTTAAGAAATTGGAAAGTGAAGTTAATAAATTAAAAAATGAAATAATGAATTGGAAAGTAAAGAATTAAATAATTTGGAATTAAAAACAATATCTGATAATGAAATAATAATATAAATATTTTTATTTATTTTTTTCTTTTGGTTGAATTTTACTTTTTAAATGGTTGTTTATTAAACCTTTTCTATCATAATTACATGACTACAAAAATATTTATTTATTTACTTGTGATTTAGTAAATGTAGGCTTTGTTTTTCTATAGTGCAGTTTTTTGGAACAAAATTTTTGAAAAATATGCAAATCAATAAATGCATTCCATTTTTTACTGGACAATAAATTATAAAAATGTTGAACTCCATATTTGCTCTTTGACAGGTTGTTTAATGATGATCAATGTCCAATGCCAATGTAGTTGAAACAAAAGCGTTTATATTCACAAATTAATCAAACAAATTAATTCATCAATGTCAAAAAAATGCACATACTCACATGGTCAAAATTATTGCTAAACCTCGCATTGTAAATCACAAAAGAATTATCATTTTGTAGCAAAAATTCTACTATTCTCAAAAACTAAGGAATAAAAAAAGTCAAAAAATTTTTGATGTTTTTTGTAACAAACATTATTTTAATAAATTATGAACAAACCCTTTGAAATTTTTCGATGTTGAAATAAGTGAAAGCTAACGTGGTGAAACAATTTGTCTTTATATATCTTGGTTGAATGGTATAAATGAAAAATGACTTATAAAACAAAAATTTCAAATTCAAAAAATATCGCCTGACTTGAACCCAATTGAATATTTATGGCAAGAAAGAATAATTAGAAGGCACACCGAAATTTAATGAGTTAGGGTCTCTATTCCAAGAGGTTTTATTCGAATAGAGATCCTAGTTTCTTTGAAAAATATAATAAATCGATAATGTAGAGATGGTAGAAGTGTATAAAAAACGTTTATTATTTTAGATATAACTATAAAAAAACTTGTTTTTATGTGTGTGTATGGAGCGATAAATAAATAAATTTTAAAGATTTCCAAGTGTTTTTTGTATGTATTATTACATGAGCAAAAGAAAAATTTCCTTTTTTTTTATATTTAAACAAAACAATCATGTCCCATTTCATTAATTATTTTTTTAAGAATATTGGTCAGATATCAGATTCTGATATTTACTGATACCCCATTACCCAATTTGGCATCATTCAACCAGTAAAAAAAAAACCAATAGATTATATATAAGCAAAGAAAGATGGGACTTTAAATTAGTACAAAAGAATTTTAAATCATGCATAAACATAACAGTTTAATAGCTTGATTGACATAGTGGAGCAGCCATGAATTCCATGCAATTTTTTTTTATTATATAATTAATTATATATCTTTAAACAAACATGACTTAGCTATTTAATCATTTCCTTGTATGTGAATGCCTTCATCCATCAAATATTCATGGTGTTCATAATTAATTATTATTCAATATATTTGATGTAATAATTGACATAACAAACAATTCATCATCCAAATAATGATAATACCAAAATGAAACTCTTAACAATGTGTGTCTACAGATCTCTGGGATTTACAAGAATAAATGGATAGAGAGGATCAAAAAAAAAATTTTTTTCTGATTATCACTGATAGCTGGTGTTTATGTGATGATTGTTTTGTCACAGAGCCAGCCTTACCTAGAGGTAGGACCATTGCAGACAACTTTTCATCTAACTTGTTGGCCATCTCTGGTCTGGGTGTTGTGAAGGTGTTATTGACAATTGATGCAGTCTTGGGTAAACTCCAGGGCATATAAAACATTATATTCTCACATCCTTGTCAATAAACAATTGGCACAACATTAATTAGTTAATTAATCGACATTTATTTTATTCTAATGATACAAACTACCTACAGATTCTTTAATTAATGGTATAGCCCATTCTTTTTTAGCATTGTGTGATTAGGTTTTTTTTTAAAGGTTCTTTCATTAAATACGAGATTTTCTTTGGAGAAATTTCATTCCAATTACCAATATGAAGAAAAGACCAGGCAAATATGCATTATCATTGTCAGACCATTTCCATTCTTTCTTATACTCAAAAAAACGCAAAGCTCTTGAAAATGGTTTTCAAACCTATTATTTAAATTTTCTTTTTTAGTGTAAAGTCATAAGTTAGTTAAAAATAATAATATTGTTTATTACAAACAAAAATAAAAAATAATACAAATCTCAATAATTGACAGGACCTTTATATTATTCTTGAATTCAAGTGCTCACTTTACTCTTGCACCATAATAATGATATATTATATCCATGCCTGTGATATCAAAGAAGGAGGAAACTTTTAATATTGATTTTTTAATTATTATGATATCTTTATAAATATATATCAAACATTACTTAACACTACTGCTCAACTTCTGAAGCAATTTTTTGTTGAATTCGCATTTTAATTGTTAGTTAAAGTATAGGTTGATAAAGTACTGTAAAGTTATTATATATTAAAAAAATTTTATTAAAAATTTATTATATTTTCAATTGAATTTAAAATACTTCTATTTATACATAACTTAACAGTCAACTTATTACTTATTGTTTCATTTACTCTACTATCTATAATTTTTATTTTCCTTCCACATAAATGCTATATCCCCACCTTCTGATCTTGTATGTATATCTGAAAAAACAACTTCATTATTTTCATAATATTTAAATATGGCATCAACATTTGAATATCTTGTTATATAATTACTAAATATTTGAACAAATACAGTTTCACAACAAATTTTTCCACTTCTATTATTTTGTAGCAATTCCATAACAAGATAAAATTTCTTGTTTAAATGGCTCAACCAAAAAAATTTAGGAGCTTTTAATGGTCATAAATTTACACGCGGACTATTATATTCTATATATCTTCATAAACTATTAATATTAATGTTTTTATCATGTTGACACAAATTGAATTATAAATTTGGTTCTAATTACAAAATAGAAAACAAAACTATTAAGAACGAGAAGCTAGAAAACATTAAACAATTATTAAGTATATCTAATATATTTACTTGGATTCATTTTTATAATTATGTATATATTAATATATATATATTCACGTTTATTATTATTATCTATTAGATATTATAAAAAAAAAGGTCACAGATATTCTTTATTTTTATATTAATATTAATATTAATCATCCTATCATATTTCGGAAATATCATTGCCAATAATAATTATCAAAGTTAAAAAAATTTTTATATATTTACATTAAAAAAAAAAAAGACATCGGGTTAAAAATGAATATCAGATTCTTCCAATTCAAAATCAAAAGATGGTTTCTGTTTTTCCAGTTCTTTCTTTTTTTGAACTTTTAACAATTGAAATAAATATTTCTCTATAGAAATTTGATTTTTAAGTTTTTCTAATTTTTTATTAAAATATCTATTTACTCCCATTTGTTTCTTCTTATTTTTTGTTGTTACACAAATCTCCTTTCGCTCTAATTCCAAAGATTTTCTTTTGGTTGTTAAATATTTTATTTTATCTTTTTGTTGTTGTATTTTCATTTCGAGTCCGTTCAACGTTTTTGGAATTTTTCGTATAAATTTCTCAACTATTGATGACAAATAAAGTTTTCGCTGTCGTTGACTTTCGAGTGAATCTAAAAAAAAATTAATAACAATGATAACCATTACTATCATTATTACTATCATTATTACAAAGATTAATAATCTTAAAAATATTTACTATGATCTTCAAAATTATTATATCGCGTTATATTAAGAATTGTCATAAAGAACACAAGACTAAAAATTATAAAAATATAATATTTTATCATTTCTTCTTTTTGAAACTAAAGGTTTTTTAAAAAATTTTTTTAAATAAAATGAATTTTAAATTTTTAAATTTTTGATAGTTTACAATGGCTGTGTAGTATAGTAATGAAAAAAAACAGAATAAAAAATTTCACGCGCTTGTCTGTTCCAAGCCACACGTCCAATTTTTTTATCCTATTACGTCAAAAATTTTATTAAAATATTACATGTAAAATAAAATTATGAATTTGTTTTTGTAAATTTGATTATTATTATTTTATTATTATCAATTATTTGGAAATACTACCATTTGTATATCATGACCACCACCAAAAGCAGGTAAAAAAGAAGCACCACAACAAATTGCATAATTACGATTGTTATTATTAACATAGCTAAGTTTTGCGGCATTAATATCATTTTTATTACTTATATTAATATAAAACTTTCATTCGTTTTTTTATAAGCATATGATCCACTCCAATCAAGTGTAATTATAACCACCAATTATTTGATATGAATTTTGTATTTTACCAACTACAAGAGTTTGTTGATGGCATCACATTTTTGATGAAATGTATGATCATTTAAACCGTCTCTGCTACCGTGATATAAAAAGTTTGAATTCGTATTTAGTCACTTTATATGAATTATATGGTAGGTTTTTCCTATCTATCCAACTTGCAAAAAGCAAAGCAAACTTTTCGTCAATTAATTGTCATTAATTCAAGCTTTAGATTTTTCAATGGCAATAAGTTTAATGATTGTTGTTTATCAGGATCTAAATAATATGTAGAGGTTGTTCCAGAAAAACTCAGGAAAAAGGCTCTGAAATGGTACGATTTTATCGAAAAAGCCTTGAAATCTTATTATTATTGAGAAACAAGTAAGTTTCTTTATCGTCTATGAATTGGAGCATATCATATACCACTTTTTTATTTTCTGCTACTCTTTTTTCTGCTGATTTTTTACGTAGGGTTGATTTCATCTTTATTATCGTGACTTTTGACATTCTGCCTGTTTTTCTCATCCAAATAAGTTCTAACTTTTGAATGTCATACATTTTCCACTACCACTTTGACCATATTCATGATTGATAATACGTGTATTATAATAAAAGATAGGTGATCATTATCATCATTATTTATAATTCTTATCCTTTTTAATGAATGACCACTCAAATATTGGAATTATTTGTTGTGTATATATCAATTGTAAACTATAAGAGAACTCGATAAATTATTAAACAACAAGGTGCAACTAAATTGATTTAATAGTTAAATTATAGTTTATTATCATCATAGCTATCTTGAACTTGCTTTGGTGTTATTAACTCTATTATTATTATTTGAAAGATAGTATGACAGTTGATTTATAACGAGTAGCAGACATAAGGTTTCCGGATAATATGATGATTTATTTCATTCATTCATTATTTTTAAAAGAAATTTTATTGAACCATAAAAATGGAAATATATTTATTAAATTAATAAAAGAAAGTTAGTTATTAGAAGCAAATTTAATTAGTAGCAGATATCGCTATCGGAACAAATTTTTTTGAATCTCGATGTAATGAATGACTCTGTGACCATTGGAAACTTACTCATTTTTATGAGGTAATTTTAAGATGAAAGAAAAACCACGTCTTTAAATAAGTATTCTTTTTTTCATTTAGTTAGCCGATCAAATAAGAAGATCATATTAATATTTGCCGTTTTGAAAAAAGCCATATCGAGGGTTATAAAGAAATAATAATAAATGTTTTTTGATTGTAGTCTATCTTTCTTTTGAAATACATTCATTCTCAAATCATTGATTGTAGGAAAAATGCGACAACGAGTATTATTATGATTATGTACATGCAGTATTATATGCTTCTGCTTAGTTATCTTGCATCATCTATTAGATGAAAGAGATGAATGAATTAAAGGGCGTTGATTTCCTTTTATTGTAAAACTCATTTACAAAAACATGCAAAACGTTGTTCTGGTTACAAGTTTATTTCTTGTATTGTCAAAATAATAATTATAATATCAATGACAAACTCTAGATCCTCTCATCTTTTTTTATATACCGTATAGTAAAGCTACTGCTGTTGTGGACACCCTGAAACATAACTATCGACAGGAACTATTCTATCACGTCTGTTAATAATAAACAATTCATTTATCAATAATCAATGAATGACACTATTATTGTTTATTAATCCAGACATTTATTATCTTGCAATTACTCTCTAGCGACACTATAAGAATAATGATAACATCCTCCTTCATTTGCGCATGACCCATAGAAATCGCCTAATGAGGTTCAGGCATCCTTTTTTTATTATTTTTTTTAAAAAAAGTAGCAATGATGATATTTCATTTGGATGATCAAATGGTTCAAGCATATCTTTCAACATATTTTCATTTAATGTAATATTGTCATTGTAATGTTTGTATAATTATCGGTAGAAAAATCATATTGGTGTTATATTCAATTTGTTCTTTGGTCATGTTATAATTTATTAAAGACTAAAATCATTATCATTATATTGAATTAATAGAAATTGTATAAACAATTTTCTTGGGCACATGCTTCAAACATACTTTGGTAATAATAATAAATCAAACTATTATGGAATAATTTATAAAGTATAAATTGAAAGCATGTTTTTGAAGCGCGTTTCGAGCGGATATTAAAAATACTAAATCAAATTTGTGCTTAAACTCAATTCAATCATGCTTGACCGAAGCGAATTAACATCCCTAGTTGTGGTGTAATGTTTAAATATATGCATTTCACGCTCTCTATAACGGACCATTTTGGCTTACTATTATGAAAAAAATTGTCTGTTGTAGACAATAATGATTTATTATTATTATATATGGGATATATAATAATAAATATAACTGGGCTTAAATTATCAGTCCGTTATAGAGCAAGATATTATTATTTATTAAAAAAAAAAAGCGACTGACATTTATTTAATTGACCATGAAATTCCAATTGGATTTATTCCTTGGACTTGTTAATTTACTTTTTGGGATATTCTTTGGTTAGACCGGTTTTATTGCTTTTTTTATTATTATTTATTTTAAACGGTAATATAGTTCTAATTTAATCAAAATTTTTAATGTTGGCGAAGTATGGGATTTGGGGTCCCAATATTATATGTATTACAAATAGAGATCAAAGATGTTGAATTTTTTTATCATAAAAGTGTTTATTTCAATTTTATTTGTTAAAAATATTATCATCTTTATTATCATAACTCAATTCAAAAAAGAATATATACAGTTTTATATAAATCAAAATTCATTAATTGTCTCTATGAATGTCCATTCTTTCTGATACAAATTCTTCGAAATATTCGTTTTATTTGAATTAATAATTGTTTAATCAGTTATTCGAATCATTTATTTTGTTCGAATCATTTATTTTGTTCTAATTACTTGATTTATTCGTTTTATTTTTTATTCGTTTATCTGTTTTATTCATTTATTCGTTTTATATGT